TGGTCAATTTCATTTCATCATTTTAGATCAATTCCTCCTTTTTCACTCTATCAGTTTGAATCCCCTGAAACCTGGATTTGCCTGTGTGGTATTACTCCTGAAATAGACAATATTCTCAAATGTACGCTATATCTGATTTTTAATAATAAAGGATTGTCTTGTAATCCACTATTCCACTGGTAAGCGCCATGTATGTCCTTTGAAAGAGCCAGAGTGCCATCATGTGGCAGAGACCCTTAATGCACGTTGGTGCACAGGAAGTTTCATGCACAACTTAAATATTTTAAAAAATATATTTACATGTAGAGTGACAGCATATGTCAGTGACAAGAAGTCAACTCTGCAGAAATTCCTTTGTGTATTTTATAGTTAAAGATATGCATCCATTTTCACTTGTGGAACAAAAGCTATTGAGAACCTGTTGATAAATAAATTAGGAGAACAGTTTCCACTGGTTCCTCTAGATGTCTCTCTTCACCTGAGTGGATTTCTGCTTTTGGTTATTTAGCAGGTCTACCAACCTCTACAAGCAGTTACATCACCCTAAAAGAGAGGATCAAATGTGTGTGTGTTGTGTGTGTGTGTGTGTGTGTGTGTGTGTGTGTGTGTGTGTGTGTGTGTGTGTGTGTGTGTGTGTGTGTGTTTGAAGGGACAGATGGTGGTGCACATGTAGAATAGTGCATACTCCAAAACCTACAATGGCGGACTGGTTTAATTCTGTCAGCGGCAGCCACGGCTCAGTAGGTAGAGTCGATTGTCCACAAACTGGCAGTATGATTCTCAGGTCCCCTGTCTATGTAGTGTCCGGGTGTCCAAGACACTGAACTCCAAGTGGGTGGGTGTCCACGGCTGCACACTGCTACTACCTAATGTATTCAAATGCATAATAAAATTCAATTTGTGTAAAATTACAGATAATAAGACAATAAAGGCCCTGATTCATCTTACAACAACCTGTACATAACACACTTCTATATGTAAATATTAAGATATAAGAATATAAGAAAGAAAGAAGGCAGTTAAGCATAACAAATGACACAATTCAGTTGGACATGGACATGCACGAACATAACATACAAAATGAAACACTATAAACAGCATATAACACAAATCACTTTATAAAACTGAAGCATGACATGGGATAAAAACATGATGCGGCCCATGATAACAGTAATAACTGGTTGTAAAATAAGGTAAGACATTCTGTTCCAAATTTTAACCCCCACAAATCCAAAAAAGCCATGTATATGTACATTTTGACAGACTTTGACTATGGCTATAGTACAATATTATACCTGTACCAATCTCTAGTACACTCAAACCCATGCATTCAAACACTGACCTGCTGCAAAATGCTAAATTCTGTTCAGTAAAACAGAGGATGTGAAGGAAAGGAATGGGGAGAGCAATACACACTCACCATGTGTATCCCTCCTCCTCTAACTAGGACATGATAAAGGAGCTGTAGTGAGGACAGAGAGATAGAGAGGGATGGAGGGGGGGATTATATATCCAGTTATAACTGATAGGCCTAATAATGTGGCTATTGCTCCATCTCCATTAAAAAGGGGCTGCCCAATCTACTATTTTCACAGTCTAACTAGCACAGAGGACACTGACCAGAGACAATGATGTGGTCAGAGGTCAACATTCATCAAGGAGATAAAACAGACAACTCTACAAGAACTTCCTCAATGACAAATCAGTGAGAAGAATGCCAGTTTACTATCAATCACACTACTAATTGTGTACTATCTTGCCTTAGATCTCAAACATTTATTCTGCTCAGCAGTACTGACACATTGTGCTGAGAAGACACAGGATGATCTGAAATGTTTTATCTCCTTTTGTTCTTCTCAGTTAGATATCCCTCCTGTGCTGACTATGATCCCACCCTTTATCACCCCATCCCATGGGTTTTCCCAATCAGAAAATTTGCTCTCTGAAAAAGTGGAAGCACCCAGATGAGCGGAAATGGCGTTTTGTGTGCCAGACTGCTTTTCTTCTCTCATTGCTGCTGACCCACAAACACGGCCAAGTCCAGTTCAGCTTCAGGGCTGTACGGTGAGATAGAGACTGATAAAAAATCACTCAGATACAGAACTGGTATTAACAGCTGCCTGATCACACTTTTGACAGCAACATTTGCACAAAGGAAAGCTAAAGAAAACTACCATATAAAGTAAGTATGATTAAAAGAAAACAGTATTAGAAACATTATAAAACTGAACCCATAAATGCTCAGAATTATCTCAAAACAACAGCATTTTATGTGTTATAAAGATGTTCTTTCCGGAGTGTTGATTCTGATTTGAATTCCTAAAAAATCTGCGGTTTCCTCCCTTGCTCTAAAACAGGAAGTAGAACTGTGGTTGTCTTCCGCTCGTCTTGTTTAATGGAACCCCCCTTCCTGTTTTCAGATTCATCCTGATAATGGCTGAAAGTCCCCAGCTGAAAGCTACACACACACACACACACACACACACACACACACCCCCCTGTCCTGTCCCTCTCATTCTTTCTTTTCTCTCTCTCTCTCTCTCTCTCTCTCTCTCTCTCTCTCTCCCTCTCACTGCCTCTAAGATGGCCGCTAGACAGTCATTTACTGAGACCTTCCCATCACCACTAACATTCAGACCTTTTGGACACGTTAACATTCCAGGTGACCATGTGTGCGCCATGTGAGCTGGTACATATGTCCATGTGTGTTAGAGCCCAAACTGATTGATTATCCCAAACTGATTGCAGTTAAGATCAAAGTGTCTGTGAACTGCGAGGATGGGCTCAAATGTGTGTGTGCTGTGTGTGTGTGTGTGTGTGTGTGTGTGTGTGTGTGTGTGTGTGTGTGTGTGTGTGTGTGTGTGTGTGTGTGTGTTTAAGGGATAGTGCCATGTGCAGCCAGGCCAGAGAAATATGCAGGTCAGTGCAGAGGGAATGTCAGGAATGCCAGTGTAATTCAAACTCTCCTCTACCACTGGAGGCAGCTACTACCTGGGCATATTTTATACAAAAGAAGGCAGAAATATGAATCTGTGTATCTGTGTGTGAGACAGTGTGCAATGTCAGTGTGTAAGGAGTGTATACATGCTCACAGCGTCATCAGCATCTCCCTCTGGCCACCTTAACTAAACAATGTCCCCATCTAAGGGAGTGCAGTACGTGTTTCAGCCTCAGTGTTCCCATACACCTGTACCTAAAACTACATTTGACTGAACTCCCAGCTGTTCTCACACCAGTTACACCTCCTGAATCCAGTTCCCAGGCTTCAGTAAGCCTTTCATTTGATATCACAACATATCTGCCCACCCCCCTCTCCCTCCCTGTCTGGGCGGCTTTTTCACGGCAGCCTGTTTTCACTCAGCTGCTTTGACAAAGACTGGTGAAATAATTACAGCTGGGCCTAAACTCAGCAAGTGTTTGTCTCCAGTAATCTCCACCAAACCCACCAGCAGAGACTGTGTCATAGGAAGAGGAGGAAGGGGTCGATTGTTCTGAAAATGAGAAGTCAATGACATCATTTCAAAGAGCTCTGTTCGAAGTGTTCAACACTCACGTTAAATAGGCAACAAAGTCAACTTGCTGTAATGTACACAGCTCGCTAAACGTCAACAAAACTTATCATTTTAGACACAGGCCCAGCTGGTAGAGAGTCTATAAATCTCTAATCTGTCTCCCTCCATTCATCACCCTCTTTCTCTTTTCCCCTCACACTTTCTGTCATTCATACAAAATGCTGTTTGGATGAATTTATTTTCTAAAGATAAGAGGTTAGTTTTATGTCTGTATAAGCCAGATCTGAGCTGAAACGTTTGGCATGTTCGAGCCAGGATGTCTTTTGTGACGGGAGGGGACAACAGGAAGACTGCTTGGGGTTGTGAGGAAGTCAGTGAGTAAGGGGAGGGAGGGAAGAAGCGAGGGAATAGCAGAGAAACAAACAGCAAGTCAACGCAAAACTATGAGGAAAAACGACGGGCTAGAGCAAAACACAAAACTCAGAAATAGTGAAATATAGGTTGCCGTATGTATACGAATAAAATAGAACCTATTAGGTGAAGTCGTGCTAAAGATGGTCCATCAGGAGGGAGGTCATTTGAAGATGAGGTTGGCGTAATTCGCAGTGACAGTTGTGGATGAGTTATGGGGGAAGTGTAGCATGTAAATCACCATGTTGCTACTACTACTACTACACCCTCAAGTACTTATAGCCGCTCCAGGGAGAGGGCCAGGGAGAGGAGAGTGGCTCCACGGGCAAGCAAGGGAAGCATGGACACATAGAGATATTTACATACAGTCAGACAGACTTCCTGGCATTGTCAGCCTGAGAGCGTTGATGTCAGATCCACTCCTTCCTGTGCAGAAGGGAGAACGCCATGCGATGACAATGGGCCCAAAACAGGACAAAGAGGAAATGTTTAAATTTAGGCCCCTTCTTCCACCATCTCCTCTTTCACGGCCATGGAGCTCTGGAGCTGTTTAGTTTTTGTGAATTCCTTCGGTTTCCCCCCCGAGCTCCCTCTCCCCATTGTGTCATTTCAATGGAAGGATTTTCACATTCAACACAAATCCCAAAGGACGATCAGCTAGTGAGACCAGAGTTCAGTCAATCACTTGTTTTCACTGATGTTCCTTTTAGAAATTATAAGTGCTTCCTTATGAGCCCATCCAACAAATAGGACAGGGAAAAAAAACCTTTAAGTGTACATCAAAAATATATGTTATATTGACTATGGAGATTTGTTTAAGATTTTAATGAACTGATGGATAAAAAATAAGATTAAAATCACAGCAGACATCCCAAGGTTAATATAATGTAAGCTATAAAATATGAAACCAAACTCAGCTATTAACTTTTTTACAACGCTATAGTTAATTTTAATGTGCTTCTGTGTGTAGGCATGTGTGTGTTTGAGTGTGTGTTAGTGTCTGTGTGTGTAGGGTGTGTTGGTGTGTTGGTGTGTGTGTGTGTTGCTCTGTCTGCGTGAGAGCTTTATCACAAATCAGAGTGTCGGCGTCTGCAGGAGCTTACAGGGCAAGAGTTCACCGGTCTGTCGCTAACTCGGGGAGTTTCTCTCAGTTTGATGATAGCAGACGAAGTTTAGAGGCAAAGAACCAAACACATGAGATCTACAAAGGAGTCGCTGTCCGCAACATAACTTCAGCCTTACTCATGGATATAAATTAAGCCCGTGAAAATACGCTGGATACGTTTAGCCGGTGTTAAAGGCGGTGTTTTCATTGACTTTTGTTTTTATGGACAGCAACGACGATGCCCTTTTAAACAGGGGGACGTTTCTTTTTTTTCCTGGGGGTAAGTTAACAGCTTTAACGGATACATTTAAAGTGGTAAAGAGGAGGTAGGCTTCAGTTTTCGCGGTTGTAACTTGATATGCAAGTTTTTGAAGTTTTGAAGAAACTATGCAGTTTGAAGAAGGGTCCAACTAACGCTGCATTACTAAAATGAGATGGCGGCAACGTTAATGTCAATTTTGACGAGGTATTTCAAATAAAATAAAATAAGAATAGACATAACTCTCAGACGCCCAGCCCGACATAAAGTTATCCTGTCACTAAAACTACGTTGAACTGTCAGTTTTAGCTAGCGTTTGTAGTCCTCTACATGGTAACCGAGTTACTACCTCAAGTTTTGTGACAGTGGAAATTATGGAAGCTAAAAAAAGAAGTTTTTTTCCGTATATTTTAGTAGTTAATGCCCTTAATTTAAATTATAAGGAGGCTTTATAACGTGAATCTAAAGTTATCAGAATATCTCGATAATAATAGTAACCTTAAAGAGACACATTTTAGATTTAAACCCTAAAGGAAGTGTTTGCTTATACGTGTGCTTGGCAAATATTCTTTTAAACTGATATGTTTATTTTTTTGTGGATTGATTTGTTGATTCTATAGATCGTATTCTTTAAAAAGCTTATCATTTAAAAAAAAAAAAAAAAAAAAGCGTACAAATTAAATTGTAAAAAGACCATAACACATGTTTGGTGATGATCTCATGTAGCAACAAAGATACAGTGCTGGAGGGCCCCGATTACACAACAAGGCTTCCATACATTAAAGGGATTATTAAGTAAGGGGGTAATTAACATGTATAGTAGTGTAGCACTTGCCCAACATCTTCTTCCTCAGAAGGAGCTTATCTGAGCTATGATGATGTCACAGCCGGAGCAGGCCTGAAATAACCAGACATCTATGTAGTGAGTGTTTCCATGACAACACAGCCTCCTGGTTTAAATGGTGGATGGGGGACTGTGTCTCAAATAATTACTTTGGATAATGTGGACCAAATATGGGGGGGTGGGGGGGAGGGAGTGGGGGTGGTGGGTGTTAGTGACTGTTGACTCATGGTACAAAAGCCCTTGTCTGAGAATCACAAAATGAGACCTCTAATGCTCGCACTGTGTTTTAGTGTTTAAGCAGCACTACTTATCTATTATTGTTGATCGTTTGACCTCCTGTGTGGGAAAAAAATATGGCTGACCCTTCACTGAGAATATTCAAAATAATATACTTTGCATTTATGGCAGGCATTTTGAGCAAGTTAAAGACAGAGTAAGCGTGATATGAAAAGACTGGCTATCGGTTTCATGTCAAACTCCTGAATAAAAATGTGGTTTTGTTCCTCCAGGTATTTGAGAGACACAGGACCAAGACATGATGTCCATTGGAGCTGATAGCTGACACTGTAGAATGAGAGAGGATGGAACAGACAGACAACCCTGCCCCTGAGAGCAACAACCCTAATGGGTTTGTCAACCGAGTGTTTAATGTTTCTCTGGATGTGGAGAATGAAACCAGCAGTGTTTATATTCAGGAGACTGGGTCAGGGCCTGCAGAGGTGCAGGGAGAGACCCAGGCTGCCTCTCCTCAGACCCCTGTCAAGGACAGACAGGAGGTCAACCGGAGGCCTCGTGCCACAGGGGGCATCTGGAAGATTTTGAACCGAAAGAGAGCTGGCTCCGAGCTGGAGCGCCGACCCCACTCCATGATCCTGCCCGGAGAGGCTTCCATCCCTAAACTCTCGTTTGCTGACAAAGTTCGCTCTTTCAAGAAGCTTAAATCCCCCTCTGTGTTTAGAGGGAAGGCAGGAAAATTGTCCACTGCCAAGTTTAGCAGCTCCTTGGTGGATGAGGACTCCTTCTGCCGTGACATTGGCACTCCTCAGCAGTCCAGCAGGGGCACACTTAGACACCGTAGCAAAAGGCACTCGTATGCTGGCTACACAGCAGAATTTGAATGCTCGTTTGAAGACCTTGACCTCACAGCTCCTATAGACGGTCACCAGCCCACTGTACTGGGAGAGGCTGTAACTCAGAATGGTTGTAAACCATCAGAAAGAGTTTGCTATACTAAAAGGAGCCACAACAATTCAACCAACTGTAACAAAACGGCTGCAGGTTTTGAAGAGCCTTGCATTAAAGGTAGCCCAAGCACCCACCAGGGTAGAGGAAGGAGGCACAAAGATGTGTGGAGTTACTTGAGGAGGATTTCCCTTTTGGGAAAGGCCAATCCTGTCTACTCAGAGAGAAGCTTTGAGTCTGAGCTTCATTCTTTGGACAAGACCATGGACTCAGATTATGGTTCTGTAGACTTCGAGAGTGTCAGAGACTTTCAACCACCGCCCCCGAAACACTCTGACGCCAAGGGGCATTTCGGTGGTCTGTTCAAGTTTTTCAACAGTGTAGCAGAAACAGCCAGAAAATGGCGGACAACATCACACTCCTTCTCTCCTCCAGAGGGAGAGAGGACTCAGATGAGCTCCCCTCGGGCCCCAAAGCACACAGTGGACAACATTCACAGTGTGTCCCTGACACTCCACAGTGACGGACTTCCAAAATCCCAACCTGTTCCATCATCTCCAGTGACCACTAAATCCATACACTCCAGTAGCTTTGACAGTGAGGCTCCAGCACCTGTGACAGGGGGACGATCACCTAAGGTGGTCCTGAAAGCCTTTAGGGCATGCCCGGGATCTCAAGCTGTCAACGGCCTTCAGAGTTCTGATGACACAGACAAACATATAGACAGAGAGACAAACCACAGGTCCACAGCCATAGTAGAGAATCATATCCCCCAGTCAGGCCCAAACACAGAGACTAAAAAAGAAGCAGAGGTCGAAAGGGATCCATTAAACTGTCTCTGTCAAGAGGAAAAGGTAGAGGGCCAGACAGGAAATGTGCAGGATTCCAGGGATGCTCCACCTGACTCCCACCAGATACAGGAGGTGAATGTCCAATCACAACAAGGTGATAAAGAGAGCACAACCAATAGTGTACCAGCATCAGATTCCACAGAGGAAATATTTAAGGTATGTGACTTTAAAAACAAAATGAGCTGTGTGAATTACCAGCCAATGAAAATAAATGCATTTGTTAAAGAAGTCAATCATTTGTTATGTTAAAGTACTACTGTGCTTTTTTAGACAACACCATTTTCATGTATACATAATGTGTCTCACACGTATGCCATAACCACATTCCATTGCAGGCTCTTACCACATCATTAACATTGCCAAAGGCATGCATCATGTAATTACTGATCAAAATATCATTTATGTAACTGTTTTAACCATGGCCATTCTTTTGCTTCTTAAAATCATCAACAACAAACTCGAATATAAATGCGACCAGTGCTGTTACTCATTTCCTCATGGTATAAGCCCTAGGTGTGGTTCATTAACTGGCAGGGAGAAACAAAAACATTCGAGACACCAGCCTGTGAGGACATGAATTGGGCACCTACTCTACAGTTGTCCTTTTGCCCCATCTGTTGGAGAGAGGAGGACACAGTCAGTAATTACAATGGTGGACAAGATCATATTAGAGGAGTTTGTCTTTTCCTGCTTGGCCAGGAAAGTGTATGAAAGGAAAGCCATATTTCAGATAAAGCTGTCCGTGTGTAAGTGCAGTAGCCCTAGAGCTCTGTGACGTCTCCACTTCATGACGGCACCCTTCCCTTCTCACTCCAGTGGAGGCATTAGTCATCTCCCTTCTAGTCACACCAACGAGTCAGGACATGTTAGCCCCAACTCCTAATGACAAAATGAGATGTGACATCTCCATACTCAGCACACTTTCATAGGGGTTTATTATGCAAAGGCAAGGGCTGTGGGAATCTGTGTTTTTGGCAAGGGTGTTAATGTGCAATCTTGCAATAGTTTAGGAGAAATGATGAGTCCAGGAAAATCCTCCTCCCTAATCACCAACCGTTAGCATATTAAATCCACCTGTCTATTGTATTTTTTTTCCTTGTCTGTAATTTTACTGCCCGTAAAGAGCAGTCTTGGCACTTGTGGTTAGCTACTGATGCATTGCAATTAGGAACATGTGCTCATGGCTAATAGAATATTTTTAAAAAAGAATTAAAGGAATTATGGGGTATATTTTGTTTAATCTATAGAGACATGCCTCCTAATTCCCTACACAAGAAATACATTGTTGCACCTTTATCTGGGCCAAATTGCTGAGTATCTGTGCCAATCACAGCTGTGTGAGCAGATTGCCAGCCAGACAGGCTGCAGTGTAAGACAGCCGGGACAAGTCGTGCCCCACTCTAGCACAGAGAAGACCTCTGTACCTCACAAGCCCCTGCGCCCTCGTCCTCGCCCGGCCTCAGCTGTACTGGACCTGTGGAGGCCCAACCCGGACCGAGAGCTCTACAACCATTATAGTGAGGTTGGCTCACTATGCCGGCGGAGACGCAGGCCTGCTCCCACCATGCAACACTCCCCGGGGCAGAGACGGATGACTGCTCGCTCCAGGCCTTGCTCTGTCATAGAGACCAGTGTTACTAGGGAGACGCAGTCCACGGAGCTGCACCACAGAGTAAGATGTCCAATGACAGACACAAGCATTTATGCATAATTTCACTGAGGGTCAACAATGACATAAACATTTTCAAATAAGCAGTCCCATAAATATCTAGTATAAATGTATGTATATCCAGTAGACTGAAAAAATGAAAGAAGGCATAGTCTCACTAGTAGTATCCACCAACTCACTGATAAATATAGCCCAAGCCCATAATGAATCAAACACACACTACAGACTTTGAAGGGCAGCCCAGTACTAACCTAGTATTTATACACCACTCACTGTTAGCTGCAACAATGCATGCATGCTCTGCCCCATTTATAAAGGCCTGTATTTCTGGATGCCGCTTTTCCCTCAGCTCACCTCCCCCTTACCCTCCCTTTCTCCTTTTCTCTCTCCCTTTCTTTCTCTTTCTTTCTTTGTGGCTTCTGATTCTCTCTCCCTCACTCTCTGTCTTTCTCTGTGGCCAATTTTCTGCCTCATCGCTCCCATAAGCTCTACCTCTCGTTGCCCTAACTCAGAGTCAGTTCATTTTAACCTGAGAGACCGCCCGGTTGGCATGATGTATAGTCTCTCATGGTTTGCTGCAGGGCATGCACACCGACCAATGCACCAGAATAGACTTGCTGAATGTGAAATACTTTAATTCACTGCAAAAAAGGGGACAAGGCAGTAAGGAAGAATTTTTTTGAACGTGAAGGGCAGGGAGATGTGTGCATTCAACCTTGTGTGTGTGAGTGTGTGCATCGAAGTAACTCTGTATGGAATACAGGAGATGCCCTAACTACTCAGTACCCTCTAGGCCTTGTCTCGCCCCCCGGGTGTGTCACCGCTAGAGCCCCCACTCAGGGCATCTCTCCAGCGGTGCCGCTCCCTGCCGCTAGCCCCGAGCACTCTCACTGCCTTGGCGCTGCTCCTGCCACAGTCAGGTACCATTGCATATTTTTATTTGACATTGATATGCAGACTGTTGATTGATGTGTGTTTGTTAAATTGATCATCTGTTTGCCCGTCTGTCTGCACGTGTCTGTCCCCCAGACATGGGTCAGTCGTCATCATCAGTGCGTCTGCGGTCTGGAGGCTCTGGAAGCTGCAGGAGAAGGAGGCTGTTAAGACCTGGTTCTGAACCACTGCAAGTCAACATTGTGAGTCGAACACACTGCCTCATGAACATACACACATAAATACAGATCGATCTAGTTACTGCTTCTACTCTTCATTCTGTCAAGCTTTCAAGGCCTTTAGAGTGATTTATAAAAAGCGCTTTGTGTACAAATTTATAACAACTACTGTGACAGCCATATATACGATACTAAGTGTCTTTACACTCACTCACACGCCCATGTCACACTGAGTTTGTTCACCTGTCACATATATGAGCATATGTAGATGAGATAATAGGATCTTTAAATGAATAACCTCTCACTCACACTGGTAACATTTAACTTTTAACACATAATGTGGCTATGACAGCGCTCTGGTCAATGTTTCATATCAGATAATGAAGGAACTGATCCGTGAAGATGTTGGCCATGTGGATTAATGTCATCTAGTACTCTTAGGCCATTACTCATCCTGAACTGGGTACCCAACATTTCAGATGTTTTTTTTCCACTGACGAGGGCACATGCAGACAAATGGACTGAATTTCACAGCAGAAAAAAGAATGACATGAAATCGTTTTCATATACCTGGTGTGCTGGCATCTGTGAGAAGTGTAACGTGTCCTTGTCAGTTGTGTAAAATTAGCTTCAGAGTACGTTGGAGTAATACTACGCAGGAAGTGAAACCAGGCATTTCAGAATCCGTGCTTTGATGTGCAAGTGGCCTCAGGGGGATTCTAGTGGAAGGAGATGCAGAGTTTCTCTGAAACATCCTGACGGGGTAGTGAACATTTCTGGGATTGTGTCCAACATCTATACCTACAGAACTGCAATGCATAGGGCTTAACACTATTTACATTATTATTTGATCATGCTAAATTGAATCTCTGCTGAGTTTCATCGACTCCTCTGTTTTTCTATCATTGAGTGAAGAACATCATGCATAATGTTTCATAGCACGTTTCATTTAGAATTATATAAATACATATTCATTAACATTTAGTATAAGAGAAGTGTAAATACTAAAATATATGCTCTGTGTAACTGTGTAAGAAGTATGCACAATATTGGGAAGTTATGTGGGTAGAGCTTTTCTACAATAGACTCCAAATCAAACTATTTACAGGGAGTCAGTAAGGATTAACTACACACCATTTGTAGTACAATAAGTAGTCCATTTTCATGAGATATGCTGTCTGCTCAGCTGTTGAATTATGAGCCCCGGGCTTTCAGTCCTGGCACGTCTTCGCATTGAAATTTAGTAAACTGTGTCTTTGTGGTGATACTACTGCATTTAAGCTTTGATTCTAACTTTTTCTTGCTGGTCTAAATAGTGTTTGTGAGCCGCTGCACGTTGTTGCCATGACACTCGCTGGCTCCTGTTCATCTTCTTGCTTCTATCTTTAGGCAGCCTTTTTAAGTGTGAGCTAAATAGAGAAAGTGTGTGGGTGAGAGAGAGAAAAAGGGGTGGGAGAGAATCAGAGAGGGGAAGAGAGATGCTCCCTTTGTATGTGCACTTTTGTGTCGTGGCCCTCCCCTGGGGTAGGGACCGTGGACTCATAACACTGCAAATGTCTTGTGTGTATTTGAATGGTGAGGGAAGTTCATTTGTAGTGGGCTCTGAAGCTATGACTGCATCTTGAGCATCGAGGTAGCATATATATATATATATACACTGTATACGCACAATATGACATAACCATAACATGGTAACTCAGCTGTAGTGCAGTCACATGGATGGATAATTCTTCTACATTAAATCTGTGTGTTGCTGTCTTATTTCTGGTAAGTAATGCATTGTTTATTTGGTGTGGATCTCATGTCAGGATCAGATCTGTTGTTTGTGGTACAGTGCAGTGTATGTTACAGTCTTCCTGTTAGGATGACTGGAGCCTAGAGGCCGCAGACAGAGAGAAAGCATTCTCACTGCAGTGGATTAACTGCTAATGCTGACGCCTCTCTTCTCCCTTTCATTTAAATGGATTTCTCCCCCAGTCACTGCCCTCTCCTCTCCTTTCCTCTCCTCTCCTCTCCACTTCTCTCCTCTCCTCTCCTCTCCTCTCCTCTCCTCTAACAAAGTCTTTGTTAATTCCTATGCAGATGAGAGGACAGTTTCCTGTGTGTTACTAATGCTGTGCCCGAAGCTCTGCTGACAACTTGTCAGAAAGGGGGACTGTCTTATTAAGGACTTCACGCAGATTAAGAGTTTCAACAGAAATCTTATACGATTAAGTTTGGGCTAACCTAGGTCTGTCTGGTCATAATCATATTATGCAATGCTATCTATTTATTATGAACGCATGAGTCAGCAGGCAGTGGCTAGTTGGGAAAATAGTAGGGCAGTGATGAAAAAGGACAAATCTGAGTTGAACAACTACTTATAGAGACACTTTATACACACGTGGGGAGCACCAACGCTCATATATGTTAATTTAACCATATACGCATAGTTTCAGTTTTCATCTGCCTTCTAGGCCTCAGCCCCTATGATACACCCTCTTCACAACGCACACACTTCACATGCTCTCCTGATGTATTCAGAATTCATCTGTCAGGGTGTATGAGTCATTGCACTGACGACCTCATTATTTGGTGAGGAATGAATAGCACTGGCTAGTGATATCTCTGTCAAACACACTGTGAATGTGTGGCACTTGCTTCACCCAGGGCTTTATTTTAGAGCCCTGTGAGACAAACCATAGGAATAGGTCTTCCTCAAAATAACTGCATGTATGTACAGTCCACACTCTGAGCCACAGGCGACCTAGAATCCTGTCCTTTATAAGTGTTCATTCAACATCATTCCCCTGCCAAGGTACAGGCACATATCTGCTGTGACTTACTGCAGCCACCAGCTAATACTGTTTTGTAGAATGCAGTGGGTTCTGATAAATACTAGTGCCGCTGACTGAATCTGAGCAGGTGGTTGTGTCAGAGTCTCCCTAGGCTGTTTCTTCTAAAGAATGGGTTCTTGCCTGTCAGGTGTGTGTTGTTGTTGTTGTTGTATGCATAGGCGTGCAACTCCATGCTTATGTGGTGTGTGTGTTTTTGTGTGTGTGTTAGAGAGAGAGAGAGACACAGATAGGCTCAGGGCCTTTTCTCTTATATAACTGTTGAGAGGGTTTCCTTTGCTCCCTACAAAAGCCATTTCCACTTTTCTTTCAGATGGCTGCATGTTCCCAGGGACTGGAGGAACAGTGCCGTGTGTTAATTCTCTTACTCACTGGTGTATCCTGTTTTACAGTATCTCCGCATCTGTGTTTTGTCAGATCATGCATGCCTGTGCACGTACCTATTTGTGCTTGTGCTTTCTTGGAGCACATTCTTTTTTTTAAAATACCTCATCAGAGCCTGTATTTCTATCCTTCCATTATTACTCCATCTATGTTATGCCGCTGCCACAGTAGGACAGTGGAGATATATTGGTGGATGGTTTCAGTAATGTCACAACATGCAGTGATTTTTGTTATGAGACTATTTAAGGCCTAAGGCACTCCGGTGCTTGTTATTCAGCATCAGTTGTGTCATTTGTGATGTCTTTCCCAGCCTGCTCAGGTGATTTTACCCACAGTCATTAGCTTCTACAGTTTGTGTAATACAGTGTTTATTTTCATGGCTATTTGACAGGTTTATATTAGGATAAAGACTTTTTCTGGACGTGAGTCAACACAGAAGAATGTCACCTTGTGTTTGGTAATATGATGATCCCTTATCATCTGACAGCACCGTCTTAGAGCAGACACCCCACAGGCTGAAATGTGTTACAGTTGACTTTCACAGAGAGATTTTTAGGTGTGTATTAATGCCACTATTAACTTTTACTGTAGCCTTTCTTTTTTACAACTTTAACTTTTTACCTGACTATAATAATAGCTGTGTATTGTATATTTCCATGTCTCATTACAATCGAATTTTTCTCTACAATACTGCATTTTAGAGAAGAGGTCATGAGGCCCAGGTCCTGTCAGTGTTTAGTGGATGTTTTTTGACACGTTCCCGGATCCATATTCTTCATATATATTTGCAGCATCTATTGAGGCAAATTTGTGTTTTTTAGGGCTGTATAAATAAAATTGACTTAACTTGAGTACTAAGATACTTAATAATTATGTCTATAGCTGAGAAAGCTGGAATTTTAGTAGGCACAAAATCATTCAAATTTTAAGTAGATAGTTCATAAAATACAAAAATGATTCATGATGAACATCATTAATCCTACATACATTCAAAATTAATATTCTCTGAAGCGTAATGTGGCCATTGCACTGTTATTACATCCATGGTCAGCTCAAATACTAGCTAACAAATGTAACCAACATTGACATTGGGGACAAAAAACTGAGGAAACTAGGCTGGCAAGTATTTACACTCAGCCAAGGTGCCAATACATTATTCAGACCTGATTAGGGGTTGTCATCTTGCTGCTTTGTCAACATACAGGCTAATATATGCTGCCTGTTGTCTTGGGGATCATGTCTGTTTTGCATAATTGCCTGTGTCTTTAAAACTGTGCCAACTCAACCTTCCTTATTTGGAAATTTCCCACAAATAATGTACACATTCATAATTTTCATAATTAACACAAAATACTGAGCAGGTAAATGCAGCATCCTGATTATTTATGAATTATTTGAAAAAACACGCTGTATGCAGCTCTTTGTTGTAATCAAGTGCCTTTTTAGTAAAAGTACTTTTTTCACATTTACTTAAAGATCATTTACTCTTTCATATTTGATTCTTAGATTTAGAACTATGAATAGGCATTACACTAAGATGTAGCAGTTACAGTTATCCAGTTCTTCTCTTTTTTGAGCTCAGAAGAAATCTTGTCTGTCAAGTGGGAAGTAAGTAATTGGGGTGAATTTTAAGTAATTGGGGTTTTCTTTGTGAAAAAAGAAACAACTGCTGTGATCTAAATATATGTTAATTGAGTATTTGTACCCTGAATAGAATACATAGCTCCAGCCATGGTCACTTTGTTGTTGTCCTAAAATAATGAGACAGAAGCTAACTGCCTGTATAGTATTCAGCTAGTTAGAATG